AGGATGGATAAATAAGTTGTTGGTCATACTGTGAAAGCATACACAACAGTTAAAAAAAACTTTAGGTACATGAATCAACATGGATACACTGTAAAAATCTAACATTATACTAAAGAAGCTATTCACAGAATAGTTATATAGAGTCCATTTATATAAAACTAAAAAAAAATAGGTAAGGAATAATAAACATAACATTTAAGATAGCAGTTGCTTCTCTAGGAAAAGGAGGGAATGAAATTAAAAGTATTTGCTGGTCTAAGAGCCCCTGGGTGGCTCAGTCTTAGGTTAAGCTCGTCTAACTTCGCCTCAGGTCATGATCTCGCGGTTTGTGTGTTCGAGCCCCGCATCGGGTTCTGTGCTGACAGCTCAGAGCCTGGAGACTGTTTCAGATTCTGTGTCTCCCTCTCTCTGCCCCTTCCCCACTTGCACTCTGTTTCTCTGACTCAAAAACAAACAAACATTAAAAAAAATTAAAAGTATTTTCTGGTCTAGATGGTGGGCATTCATGTTATTGTATTTTAATTTATACATATATGTTTTAGTATATTCTTTTGCATGTATGAATGCATCACAATAAAAGTTCAAATTAAGTAACCATGTGAAGTTCAGACATATAGTCATTAAAAGTTATTTGTAAAACGACATTTACAATACCAATTAAAAAATAAAATTCCTGGGATGCCTGGCTGACTTAGCTGGTTAAGTGTCTGACTCTTGATTTTAGCTCAGGTCATGATCTCGTGGTTTGTAAGTTTAAGCCCAGCACCAGGCTCTGTGCTAACAGTATAGAGCCTGCTTGGGATTCTGTCTCCCTTTCTCTGCCCCTCCCCTGCTCACAATCTCTCTCTCTCTCTCTCTCTCTCTCTCAAAAATAAACAAAAACATTAAAAAAATATAAATTCCTAAAAGCTTAACAAAAATACTTAGAACCTAGATAAATGTAGCTTTTAAATTTAGAAAGCACTCCTCAATCTTAGGTAGGAGAAATAAACATAATTTTGTTCTCATTAAACTTATCTACATTTTCAATGATACTTACAGGTTTGGGGGTGGGTCTGAGAAACTGATTTTCAAATACTTTTGTGGGAGAAAGAAAAACCATTATTAAAAAGAAATGACACCCAAAAAACAAATAATCCAGTGAAGAAATGGGCAAAAGACATGAACAGACACTTTTCCAAAGAGGACATCCAGATGACTAAAAGACACATGAAAACATGCTCAACATACTCACCATCAGGGAAATACAAATCAAAACCATAATCAGTTACCACCTCATACCTATCACAGAGGCTAAAACTAACAACTCAGGCAACAACAGATGTTGGCGAGGATGCGGAAAAAGAGGATCCCTTTTGCACTGCTGGTGGGAATGCAAACTGGAACAGCCACTCTGGAGACGAGTGTGGAGGTTCCTCAAAAAATTAAAAACAGAACTACCCTACAACCCAGCAATTGCACTACTAGATATTTAACCAAAGGATACAGTAGTGCTGTTAAGAACCGGCACATGCACCCAAATGTTTATAGCAGCACTATCAACAATAGCCAAAGTATGGAAAGAGTCCAAATGACCATCAATAGATAAATGGATAAAGAAGATGTGGGGTGTGTGTGTGTGTGTGTGTGTGTGTGTGTGTGTGTGTGTATGTGTATAATGGAATATTACCTGACAATCAAAAAGAATGAAATCTTGCCATTTGCAACTACGTGGATGGAACTAGAGTTTATTGTGCTAAGCAAAATTAGAGAAAGACAAATATCATATGACTTCACTCATATGTGGAATTTAAGATACAAAACATATGAACATAAAGGAAAAGAAGCAAAAGTAATATAAAAACAGGGAGAGGGACAAAACATAAGAGACTCTTAAATATAGAGAACAAACTGAGGGTTGCTGGAGGAAGTGTGGGTGGAGGGATGGGCTAAATGGGCAAGGGGCATTAGGGAGTACACTTGTTGGGATGAGCACTGCATATTATATGTAGGGGATGAATCACTGGATTCTACTCCTGAAATCATTATTGCACTATATCATAACTAACTTGGATGTAAAGTAAAAAAAAAAAAAAAAAAAAAAAAAAAAGAATTAAAATAAAAAAATGAGAGGAGACTAACCCAGTGGCATATTAAAACTCTGTAACTGTAATTATAACATCATGAGGTTGACACAGGAATAGACAAGATCAATACAAAAGAATAGAAATCTGGAAGTGGACCCAAATATAGCAGAGAATTCAAACATGATAAAGGTAATATCAAATTTGTGGGGATAAGATGGCTCATATATGGTGCCGGGATATCTGACTAGCCATTGGCCAAAAAAATATATTAAACTAGATTCCCTGCTCAATTCTTATGTTTTAGCGACTAGAAATAGTTGTACATTATATTGTAAATAATAACTAACATAATAGCAACCAATTCTTACTGATTCTATTTGTCCACCACTGTGCTGGGTTTTACATATTTGACCTTATTTAACCTTCTTAACCCTACTAAGTTCTATTTCCCCACTTCAGAGATGAGAAACTGGTTAGGTAATGCAATCTAATTCACATAACTGAGAAGTGGCAGAAGCATGAAACAAGCTTAGATAGTGGACCCAGAGCCTGTATTTTGACCAATATGCTATATTAAAAAAACATACTGTGGGGCGCCTGGGTGGCGCAGTCGGTTAAGCGTCCGACTTCAGCCAGGTCACGATCTCGCGGTCCGTGAGTTCGAGCCCCGCGTCAGGCTCTGGGCTGACGGCTCAGAGCCTGGAGCCTGTTTCCGATTCTGTGTTTCCCTCTCTCTTTGCCCCTCCCCCGTTCATGCTCTGTCTCTCTCTGTCCCAAAAATAAATAAAAAACGTTGAAAAAAAAAAAAAAAACATACTGAAAGGTTAATATATTCAATATCTAAAACTTATAAGTAACTTTTACTTCCTTTTTTCCCAAAATGGGCTATCTTCCTTCCTTTTATCCTTAAATGAGGAAGAAGAAAGGCTAAATTCCTCTTCATTGCCCATTAAACGCACTATATATATACAGGAACAAAATTAAATACACGTCGATAGCAGAATTGAGAGATGGATCCATGAAACAGGACAGACCCAAAAGTGATCTGTGTGTACAACTGTGTATGTGTGTGTATATGTAATGAAGTTAGTAATTTGGTATATAAACAAGTAGCACTACAACCAATGGAGAAAGTAAACGTTGTAAGAAAAATAAGAAAGTGGGAGGTGGGAAAGAATGTTTAAGTCCTATCATTTCTCACACCAAAATAAATACCTGAAAGGCTTCAGAGTTAAACTTTTAAAATACTTGAAACTATAAGAAAATAATTGAGGAAAATGAAAGTAATTATGTATTAGATTTGAGGGTGAAGAAGAGCTCTCAGAGCATAAAATTATATTAATGAAAAGAAATAAGATTTCACTCTATACAGATTTGAAACTTACATGAACAAATAAGTCCCAAAAGGCAAATGACAAAAGGGAGAAATATAGCAATTAGCAAATGGTTTGTATCTTTTACATACAAAGAATACTTTTCATCAAATAGAAACAAAAAATTCAGTAGGAAAAAAAAGTAATGCATGTCAAGAGGCATACATTATTTATGTCAAAGAAAGAATGCAAATGACCAGTAAATGCATGTAAAAAATGGTCAACCTTTCTAAAGATTAAAGGGATGCAATTAAAGGCAAAATCTTAAATACTCAAAACTGGTAAAGGTTCAGAGAGAGAGGATCTTTCATCAAATGGTTACAGAAGTTAATTCATGTAGTATTTCTAAAAAAGAACTTGTGTTTCAAAAGCCTAAAATATAGACATTATATTCTTTGGCTCTGTTATCCTATTTCTCCAAGCATATCTTGAAAGACATAAAGAGAGATACACTTAATAAATTATGTATAAAAATATTTAATAGAAAATGTTTATAAACAGCAAAATATTGAGAATTACTTTAACTTTTCCCCAAAAAAGAAAATTTAAATAAAGTACATATAGCTGGAAGGGAACATATATACCTAGAGTACAGTACACATACCTGGAATGGAATACTAGATAGTCTTAAAAACTCGTATTACCAAAAAACGTTCGAAAAATGTCAATTATATGTTAAATGAAAAAAATTATACAAAAACTGGCCATCCATAATTCAACAAATATTCAATGAGTGCTTACTCATGCCATGCACAGTTCTATGTACTGAAAATGTTCTCTGCCTTCATGGAGCCTATTTCTCATGTTCAAATTTTTTTTTATATATACTAATCTACATATATGCATGTTAGATTACCTATGTGTCTACTTTTGTACATATGTGTACATATTAGTGTTTTTACAGGTTAGTATGTATTTGTATCGAATATTAGATAAAAGACTATAAGTAAATAGATCCAAATGTCAGTAATGGCTGCCTCTGGTTGATGTGCAGGGGACTGAGTGGTGCACAAGAATAGGTAACCAATTAAACATAAATAGCATAGCTTTCCACAATGTGACCTCACCTCATACATGCATGCTTAGGTTCTACTGTAACTAGCTCTGTTTTCTTAGTTTTCCCCTCAATTTCTGCCTGAGACTAATGATCTTCCCATCTAGAATACTACCTTCCTGTTCATGATTTTTTCAAACCTGAGTTTCTATTCCTGTCTTTTAAGTGCCACTCATTCTAACACGTTAATGTTTGCTAACTTGAGAAATTATTATTGACCTCATATGGTTTATCTCCTCAGTGTTCAGAAAAAAATTCTTATATTTCTTGATCTCAGAGCATCAAGAACGGTACAAATTTTACAGTAGACCTGAATGACTGGCTGAATAAATGAGTAAATGTTGGGAAAAGACACCGGGTGGGAATAGGAGGTTTGGAAGTTTCTCAGCCAAGTGAGGAACATTTTCTACTCTGGTTCATCCATCCCCACTGCCACTTCCACTATTCCCACCACCTATGGATAATTCCAGGGGTATTTTATAAATAAGAAAAGACATTCCTACTCACCTGGGATCAGACTATGAAGAAAATAGTGAACATTGCTTCCTCCTTTATGCTCCTCTTTTAGGGAAGGGTGGAGCTTTGAGAAGTCTGAGCTGAGGGAGAAGAAAGGAGGAATGAAAGACTGGGCATGCCTTGCAATCATCCCCACATACTAACTGGGTGTGACCCCCAAACCTCCTAGAAAGAGGCCAGAAAGAACACAAGAACGTTTCTGTTCCTTTTCAAGGGCCAGATAGGAGAGTTATGAGAATTGGAACCAGGACTTAATTTCTGAACCTTTAAAAATTTCAAACGTACAATTCTTGTTTGGGCATGAAAACAGAATTTGATCTCACAGTCCCTCCAGGGATGCAGATGCTCTCTAATGTAATTTAACCTCTCTGAGCCCCAAGGCTTTCCTAATTAATTATTAACAAAAATAGTAAAATAATAGAAATAGGGCACATATTTTCTATTCTTAAAGTATTTTTCTTATTTTGTTCAATCAGTAAAGTAGAAAGATAATTCCATTGCTCTTCTCTACTTAATACACAGAAATACTGGATTTACTATCAGAGTTCCTAGAATCTTACAGAATGGTCCCAGATCTAGCGTTCCCTGGACCTCATCAGTCTCTGTCACTAACCACTTGTAGAACTTTGAAAATGACCAGACTTCTAGACCTCCCAGGGCCTCACTTTCCTCACCTGCAAAATGGGGGCATGAGCCTTTGCTACCCGGGTCCTGCCTTGGTGATCACAGGTCCCTGGGGAAAATGATAAACAGTTAAGAGCCCTCTTTCTCTAGAAAGAAAAAAAACGATTCGTGGACGGCCCGAGAGCAGCATAGCTTTCGGCTCTCCCAACGCGCCACGGGCTGCCCGAGTGTTTTTGGATTCAGACACACAAATGGTTCTCAAGGAGAGGGATCTGCTCGCATCAGGGCCACGGATCTGCGTGGCCTCTGCTCCTGCAGCGCAGATGCGCGTGGCCTCCGTTCCACGTCCAGACCCCCGACCCGAGCTCCGCCCCAACACCTTCCAGTCCCAAGCACCCCGGTCCCGGGGTCAAAGCTGCCTCTGTCCTCCTCTCTCCTTCCCCTTAGTCGGTTTTAATTTGGGGAGGGCGACTGTGAAGGACCCACCTACACTGGTGTCTTCGGGATTTCTAAGCCGGGAGCTTCTCGGCCCCACACCCTCCCTTTTCTGCCACTTTTTCTTCAGCCACAGCTCTCCCCGCTTCTGGCTCGGTGCTCCCGACAATCCGCGTCACTAGTGGAACCTCTGAGGGGGCACAGGACCGGCCAAGACAGTCCGTCTACACAAACAATGGCCGCAGCCCCGCTAGACCGAAAAGGAAGCCCCGGGCCTCCAAATAGACACTCGGAGTGTTTCCATGGAGACGGGAGGGGCGGGGCGGGAAAGGAAAGGAAAGCGCCGGAGAACGTGGCTCCTGATTGGACAAAAGGCCCGGGACTCAGTTCGGCGGTCCGTCGCCGGCGTTCGGGCACCGGAGAGCTGAGTTCTCCGAACTCTGAGTGGAGAATAGGACCGAGTCACCGCCCGCCCCCCGCCCCGATGCTAACGAAATAGGGCTACTCTAGGTGCTTTTAGGGACTCTGGAAAGGCGG